TACTTTTTTCCTCTCCTACTTGCTGAATTTTTGACGATCTATGCAACACTGTGACAGTGACAACTTGTCTCGCGCAACTACACCAACATTGTCCGATCCAACTTAATAATAGAGTTCCCTCGAAAGTCAATTTTTGCGTGTCCCTCTTTTTCTCTCGTTTCCAAAGCTTCATTCTAAAGCCGTCACTCATTGAAATCGTTGAAATTAAAAAAAGTGGAAAGTGAAGTAGACGAGGCTCATTGATGTCCATTCAACCGGTTAATTTTATCAACGTTACACCCGATAAATGCGTAAATGTATATCACGCCATTCTTCGTATTTACAACTTTTTTCTTTTTCTTTACGTTGAAATTGAGCTTCTTGGTTTTCATATTAAATATTTATTTCTACTGCTCTCTTCATTTTTAAAACGTTATATTTATGGATCTCTTTGCAAACTGCAAAGTTCTATATATTGATTTTTTTATCATCGATAGGACAAACTGTGGAATATTTATTTAAGAAGACGTTTTCAATGATAGGTCTTTGCACTTCTCAGACGTCGTTATACCAAAATTAATAATGCGATATTAATTATATTTTTTTATATAACGTTATATTCAGCCAACAAAATATTATCTTATCATTCCCACAAATTCTACCAACGATCCTTCGAATTAACAAATATCGACAATACTATCACATTAATACTATCGTAAATATCTATGCGCGAAATAAATAAACAGAAAATAAGAAAAGCTACTAAAATTCTGTCCTATCATTTCCACAAATTCCATTGACGATTCCTCGAATTCGAATTCGAAGAGGTCGATTCCGCGCGAATTCGTTACAAAGTCGAAAGCCCGAGCCTGGTCACGTAGGCCTTTCGAAACTCCAAATCAGCGAGAAATTAAATCGACCATGCCAGTTTCGTCCGCGGGTTCACATTCTTCCCATGGATGTGCGACAATGCGGCAGCTTGCCAAAGAAACCATGCGAAAAGGAAGAGAAAAAGACGATGGAAAGACGAACAGTGCAAGCGGATAAAAACGCAAGGGTGGACCACACAAGTGACACCGTTTCGCTGCGGGTGAAAGCATCGATCATGCGAAACGATACCACCGATTAAGTCGTTAAAGACCACGACGATGCGATTGCACCTTGTCAAGACTTTTCGACGTTGCTAACATTGAAATCTTACGGAGACGTGTTATTAATTCTCGATGAAAATATACGATAGTTTCGAAGGGGCCTCTGCGCAACGAGACACGCACCTGTCTTATGTTAATGGCGCATAAATCCAAGTAAACGCCAGAACGAAACCACTATGGAATCTAATTTATTGTACCGTGGGCGTAAGTCAATGGGAATGAATACAGGCACTGCATAATTTCGTGTCGACTATCGTTGGAAAGCTCATAGAATTTAATCTTGTACGAGCATGATGGGTATGATAATGAAGATGGTATACAGGTGTCGATGGAAGAAGGTTGTGGTGTTTATGGAACGATGCGTCATATTGACGCTAATTGGTGTTCGATAAACTGTTGAATGGCGTTAAAATATGTGATTGATCACAGTAAAAAGTGTACAGTTTACAACAAAAGTGTTAGGAAGATTTTAATTTGATCTGCTTCAGATTTAATCCTCACCGATTTCCATGTAACTTGTCAGGGTAATAGTTTTAAGCAAAACTATAATTTTAATAAGATATTCAAACCAGTTTTATGAGAAAAACATTTTTAATTTGTAATTACGTTAAGTTATATTATATGTTGTATGTGACCAGCTGGCCTATAAACCCTGAATACTTCTGTATCTACTTACTCGAAGAGAAGTTTCAACTAAATCTGGAAAAATTAAAATCGACACATCTTTTCCATCCCCTTTATCTTCCAACCTCTATTTCTACACTATTCTCCATATACCATAGAATCCTGCAAAAGGAAAAACATTCTCGATTTCCTTATCGAACGATACATATACTTACCCCACGTAAGTTCGCGATCACGTTGAAAAAGAGTCATCGATAGCGAGTTCGTATCCGAAATAACTTGCAGGAGAGAAAGAGCCCCAGTTACGAGAGGAACTGTTGGTCCCTGATGGGGGTTGCAGAGTGCAGGGCAGCGAGAAAGAGACGAAGAGGTAGGCAACGACCCCACGCAATGCTCCTTCCGCACACACGAACAAATCCCCTCGTTTTTGGATTTTTCGGGTAAAATCGGGATGGTAAAGGGAAGGCTGGTGAGTAATTCGAGGCGGGGTGCGGGCTCGTGTGCAGGGGTTGCTCTTTAGGATCTGCACCCTTCAGCACCCTGCCTTCCACCCCCGTTGCTCCATCACCCTCCCTGGTGGGGCAAGTTTGACCAATATTTCCGAAGGGTAAGGTAAAAAGAAAGGGGAATGGAGAGCGAGATCGCTTTATTCGTGCCACGCCAACGACTAATTCGTGCGAGTCGCGTTACAGCTGCGATGGCGGCGGTAGTGAAGGAACGAATGAGAGGAAAACTCGTTCGACGATGATTCGTTAGAATTTATGTGGCTTACGAAAGCATTTGAACACTTCTGGAAATATATATGAGAGTTACGAGATATTTATTACAAATACGTATATATTTAGTAAAAAATTGGCATTTAACACGAACAGCCATCTTAAGAATATAATAAATATTAAAGGTAGTCTCATTATAATATTGAAGCTCGTTAATGTAATGGATGATCGACTGTTTAAAACTACTTTTTTGTGATCCCTGCGAAACATATATATATCCTTGTATTACAGAAAAAAATTTCACAATTTGTAATACTACGTTTAATGATTCGCGCGATGAATAATGGCCTTAAATCTGCAATTAAAGATAATCTCGCTGGATATCGTGGCTTACTAATGCAATGAACAATTGACTGAAGCGTATATCTGTAACAAATATCTTGTAACTTCCATATACATTTTCACATACGTTCTAAATTTCACCAATATAACCACGATTATCTTCTCTCGTTGTATCAATGAAATCTCAAAATCTTTCGTCCTATTACACGCGCAATATATACTAATAGAAAGTTTGTATACATATTCAGATACTTGTGTAGCCACTGGTAACAATTAAAATTGAAAATCGTCCAACGTACCGATGGATCCGGCTGATTCCCTCGGAACGATGCCACCGCATCAGTTCGCGTTCGGTCACTTTTCTGCTTCCTTAAATCTCTTCGCCAGGGGTAGCCGAATCACACGTCAAACGCAGAGACAGACGTTTTTGTTACGAAGAGAAGAGAAAAAAAAAATATCGTGCGAGAGCCTCGGGTCGCCGCCACCACCGCCGATGGGGTGTAAGAGCACGCGGTACAGAGAGATGAAAGGGGGTGAAGGACGATAGAAAATGTAGGGTGGTTTTAGGTCCTCCATTCAATTTATCGACGGATTGACAGCTCTGTTAGGCCCTTGTTACGCAGAAGCACGTTACCCCGGAAAGAAGAGAGAGAGACAGATCTGGAGCAGGGAGGAGAGAAGAAGAGAGGGCTGCACGATTCTAATCGTACTTCTTTCCGTCTTGCATACGTTTCCGGGTGAAAATAGTCCGTTTCGGTGAGTGCTTTCTACCGACGAGGGTAAATGCTCGTGTACAGAAAAATCTATGAGAAAAAGATGTAAACATAGAGGCAGAGAAGTGCCATGGAAAAATAAGTTTTCGATTCCTTTTTGATTGCGACAAAAAAATTGTCTATAAAACTGAATCGTTCCCAGGAGACTCGTCCGTTTCATTGATGTTTTCTACACGCTGTGTACGGATGATAAGACAGTTAGTTACAAGTCTAGCGTCGTGAACTCTAATATGGAAAACAACAGTCCGATTGTAATTTCAAACAGTTTGATTAGAGCACCCAGTTCATACAAAGTTTCGATGTTAATTGGACAGTGACGCATCATCGACTTGAAGCACCAACGAATCCAACTGATTATTAATAACTTGACGATCGAAACTGTTTACCCGATATCCATGGCAGATAGATTGTTTCTTAATGAATTCGTGGCAGCTAACTTTTGACAATCGAAACTGTTTACGATATTCCTTATAGTAGACAGATCGTTTCCTAAAACTCAAATCTCTTTCTATAAAATCCAAATGCTTCTTTCGAACAACTCCGACTACGTATTTACAATTTTGTTTGCCTTCCTTCTGAACAAATTCGTTGCAACGAAACGACAGAACTGACCAACGGTCTCGTCGCGTTAAAACCCAATCCAGATCGATGGATCTGTGGCCAGGTGTGCTCCGGTCAACTGTTACGTTTCTGGATACCTTATGCGACCTTTTCGCGTACCTTCATCCCCCTGACCCGTCTTTCATATAGAACCCCGGTTAATCGGAAGTCGCGAGTGGACGCGAGGAAGGACGAAGGGATCTTCGAGAATTGAAGAAAAAATTTAGGGTGCGTCTATCCGCTTAAAGAACGATGCCACACCGCGTAAACCAGCACGGAATAATTCTTTTGTGGATGCTCGAGGCATCGATATACCGAGGATGCCTGAACACGAAGATATCTTGGACTTCGTAGATACCTTTTTCTACTCTTTTTTGATTCTTTTTGTACTCTTTGGTTATAAAAAAATATTTACAAGCAATTGGTTAAAATTTAAGCTATTTAAGAATGATATAAGAGTAACAATAAAACAAGTAAGTTTGTAGTTGACGTAAGTCAAATTATCTATTTGGAAAAATATAAATCATAAAAGACCACAAATTGTGCGTTTTATTCGATTGCTACGAAAGCTTCAATTTAATGATCAGTATATTCCATTTAACTACTGAATGATACCAGATACTAGAAGGAACGAAATACAAGTAGCTTCTTCCTTTTCTCTTTTCTGCGTCGACTCAATGATTCTTTCGTAAGAAACTTTCTGTTTGAAACTTTCTTATTTCACCCCTTTCTTGTATTCTATTCTCTTATCAAAGGTAGTTTCATATCACTATATAGTTACGCTTTACCTTTGGACCTTAAGTTCTTATTACTACTTCCTATTCCCTTTTCTATACTTGCTTCTACTAAATCTTGTATAACTTCGTTCTTTGAAATCGTACCATCGTTTTTTAATGAACAGAAGGAATACAATACCATGGCAATACAATACAGCAATATATGAAGACATATATGAAGAAATATAACGAAACTTTCATACTTCAGTACGAAACGCTGCAGTTTCACCTTTGATACGAATATTTAATTGCTCGCACCTTTAGAAATTTGTAGAAAATATGAAAGAATCATGGCTAATAATTAATGTGATTACTCGTTTCAATAACCGGTTAAAGGTCTTTTTAACAGGTAAACGTTAAAGACTCTCAAAGATTAAAGCGATATTAAACGAAAACATTCGAAAGTTGCAACAGGGCTAATTTACGCCTAATTCAAGGACAAAATAGATGGCTCTGCGAAAAAATGAAAGCTAGGACGCTCTTCCTAGACCAGCTGGTGTGTCCAGTCTCGTCTCCTCGAGTCTATTCGCACACCACATGTTCCTCGGTAGATGAACACGAAATTAATACGGGATCGGTATTATTAGGTTCAGTCATTAGGCGGCATCGGAACCAGATAATTAGACGATTCTCTAATGAGGTTGTGCTAAATATTATTTGATCGATAATAAGAAGATAGCGAAGAATTCTGTGTGTACGACACACGCTCCTATCTTGGTATCTAAGGTTCAAGTAAACACATTGTGACGCCTATTTCTCATTATAAAAACGCAATTGTTGCGTCCACCATTGACAACAATTCTCGACCTGGGACTTTAGCCCGTCTCCCTAATTGTCAACTTTTTACTTTATCAAACATGCGGTTTATCAATGGGCTCCCATTAGTCCATTCTTAAATATTTATTCGAGTGAATAGTTTTAACTGGACTTCACTGTGTCGCTCTTCGTGCTTGGAGAAGTATCCAATTGAAGTGATTGAAAATTTGTCTCAACAGGGTACGTATTCATGTACTTACTTATAATGTATTTTTTAGCTTTTATTTCATTTACATACTAGTATACATATATTGTAGTTTATCAATGTGTCACCGAGTTTCTCCTGGACACTTTATTTAGTAATCGTAGTATAACAACTATTATCCTTTAACGATACGATGGTTATTTTATCATGCGAACAGAAATATTCAGAAATTGACAAAAGATGATATAATCAGTTATATGTATACTAATAGTCATTAAATTACACATTAACTAACGATATCTACTTGCCAAAATGTCATAAAAATAGAATCTTGTAGGAATTCATAGAATTCATCTCATAATAACTAAAGTAGTTAGATTTCTAGATCAAAATCAGGAACTGTAATCAATTATAACTCTTTCTTTTATGAGTCAATAAAATATCGGTACGATAAAGAGCTAACGTATTTCATATCGCACGAACCATTCATAGCCTTTAGCAATCACTTGGGACAAAGCTTTTATTAGACAAACAGAGGTATATATCCTTTAGCACACAGTTTATGTAAGATAGATAGTAGTAAGGATCCAAATATCAGAAGTTCAATACACGTGTCATGTATCTCTAATTAAACATTCTAATCGCTTCACCCAAACTTCAATTCCTATTGCAACGTTCAATCTTCCTTTGAGGAAGCCAAGTGAAAGAATCCAAATTTCATGCAATACAAGTTTTTAGATCATACACAAAAAATACAGGTGCTTTCTGACCGTTGCAAAGAGTCGTTACAGGAACGAAAAGATACTTCTTTGAAAGAAATACAACAACGAATTTTTCTTAGGGCAGATGAGCGTTCGAAGATTCGAATCGCGTTCGAATCGACGTTACCACATTAAGAAGGCGAAATAGTGGGGTTTCAATTATCCCACATGACATATTTAAATACATGGAAAAAGTTTAGCTCTGCGATTCTTATCTGTCGTAACGGTCACGATCGAGGAGAAAAAGAAAAGTCCACTCGAGAAATGCAACGGAAAATTCTCGAACTGACTCGTAGAGTTCTTTGTGGTGAAACCATGACCAACGGTTGCTCGTCAACCACAGATCAAGATATCGATTTAATCTGTAGCACTGCTACCTATGTAAAGCGGTTCCGATCTGACAATGGACAGATTTCAAGGTAGATTGGTTTGCATAAATTGGACCAGCACCAGTATCCCACTTTCCGTTAGAACTTCCGTTTTCGACGTGAAAAAGCGCTCGCAAAAACCAGTCGAACCGTTTCTTCGGGAAACGCGATGCTTAACTTCGATAGTTTCTACAAGTTCGTTCACTTTCTTTTGCAACAGTTGTGGAGGATGAGTGTGGTGATATTTTTTGTATAATTCTAGAAAATTGCAGTAAATTCTAACGAAGTATGCCGAGCAATAAAAATCTTGACATATTTAATCTTTTCAGAGAGGAATTTATTGAAACCAGAGAAAGATAATTACTTTTGTGTTTTTCTCACACTAACTCTTGATTTTTAATTATCTCGGTATTTTTTATTCTTGATATTTAATCTGCTAAAGATTATCCCTAGCGAAGAATTATAAGCCAAATACAAAAATACTATGCATAATATAATATTATAACACACAAACACATTACTATAGTGACTTTATTTTATTTGATGGATGGATTTGTTTACAGTAATTGAAACAGAAAAACGATGATTATTTCATTTAATTAGAGCTTAATGTAGTAATGTAATGCGACTAAAACAACTAAATTTGTACAACTACTCAACTTCTGAGTGACAACTCACAAGTCACAATTCACAACTCACAACTCACAACTCACAACTCATAATTCTCAACAACTCGACAATTAATGACCAACGACTAACTAACTCGCAGCTAACTCGTAACTAGCTCGCCACCTACTCGCAACTAACCCGCAGCTGATGAGCAATAACTAATTGACTTTCTCCACCAAGACATCTCCCCATCACAGATTTCATACCCCTAGCAAGTTGTTCCTTATGATTATTCCACAATACTACAATGCCTCAATAGAATTTAAATATTACGCAGGCGCGTCTTATCTTTAAGAAGTGTAGCAAACAAGGTATGTTGTTTCTGGTATACATATGTATATAAAAATCTGAACGGAAGAATAAGGAAGAAGACACTGCGTATTTTTATCCCCTATCGGAGACGAAGTGTACGTTGCTTTCACCCAGCTTGTTGGATTATCGAGATTAGATAGACAGGAGACTAGTTTGTTTATATTATGCCACGACAAACGGAGCAGATATTTTTGGAGAACATCGAGCTGCGCATTAACGGGTATTTAGTCGAACGTGTCGCTTTGTCTACGCAACACATTGAGAAGAAATACCAGTACCTAAGAAGAAGAACTAAAAGATAAAAAAAAATTATTCATGTAATTATTATGTTACATTACAAATAAGAAATAAATAACTTACATCTTCGCTATCGTTTTATACACGTCTCATAGACTTTCTAACTCAAGTTATTCAACGATCATACGAATATCGTAAGTACTGTACGTGCCCCTGTATATTCGATATATATCTTTCTTTCTACTTCAATAAAATCGCAATCATAATAAAATTACAAAGATATATCCGATCGAATGCATCAATCTCAACGATTGCACAATGCAAGTAAATAAAGAATCAATCGCCACGGACACAGAAGAAATCCTCTTAAAAGGGGTCTGTAAACTACACTGCAGTTTTTTTTATTGCCAAGTATCAAACGCAAAGCTTCTTATGACTTTACAACGTAAATATCCGATGGGTCTTTCGTGACAATGAAGGCTCTTTAGTATCTTCTTGGTTCGTCAATTTTATCGTTGATTCAGTAGCAAAACAGTTGTATGTATCAAATATTATTTAAAAACCGTTTTATCTATTAAACGCTTACTCTGCGTTACAACGAGTACTCTGCGTATTGCGCGTTCTGTGCATTGCTGGACATTTACATTTCTCATAAATGCAGAAAAGCATTACATATACATATACCGTTAGTAATAAAATTATTACAGAGTACCAATAAGAAATCAAAGTAAAAAAGAGATCCTCGCAGAATGTAATCATAAATATAATTAAGTTTCAAAGCAACCAAACGGAAACTACCAAGTATCTAAGTGGCAAGAATGGAACAACAGGTTTATTTGGCGGAAACAAAAATGAAGAAAGTCACATCTTTAAAATTTTTAGGAAGTTTTAAAACGGAAAGCTGGCCGTTATTCGTAAAGGTGCCTTTCTTGTGGAAGGAAGGTGTGCAATATAGTCGACCGTCACCAAGTGGAAGAATTATTTCAAGAATTCAATATCGTTTTACGTATGTCAAATAAACAGAAAAGAAGGATCACCTTTTGTCCATCGAAAACTGTCGTTTTGAAGACCCTAAGCCCCAAATGTTTTCATACCTGATAATTTGCACTCGTAAAATTATAAAACTGTGAACAACCCCAATATTTTTAGTTCGTCCTGAACACGGCAAAACTGGCGCGCCCTCGAAAATTTCCTGATGAGAGAAAAAGGTCCTTACACTTTTACTGGCCATTACTTACGGAAAATTAGAGCAATTCTCGTAATTTTAATTACCAGGTATAATGCGCTCTCTCGTTCTACGTTCCTCTTCGTGTTTCTCGTATTTATCACCAACGTGCTTTCCCCAAGTACTCTACCAAGCATCCATCCATGTATACAGTCCTTTATTAGTAATGAACTTTAGGATAGTAAAACGTACTCGAAGGTTGGAATCAGGGTGCCCTAACTACGTTTGACATTTGGTGTAGTATATTCATACCTAGTGAACGGTTCAACAGCCCTGCTTTCGTTTTATTGCCAACGAAACATTGACCAATCGCTGTTCCATTTTGAAATATATTTCTTTTTTTTATAGTGTTTATCTTAGGATCTTCCAAATTCTCTACCTTTCCTATTATACAATGAACCAATTCGGAGTTTTAGTATTAGTTGTTTGGTTCTATGAGAGAGTTTTTGGCAAAATGCATTGGAAAAAACGTTAAAATGGTGAAGGTTAAAGCTGAGAAACATGTACTGCGATTTCCACAGAATCAGAACATGAATCATTTGTTACTTCATGTTTTCATGTAATTTCTCTGATCTTTTTATGACCCCAATTTTTTACTTTAAGAATATAAAATAAGAATAATTGTGAAATAAACATATTTAAATAATTACTGAAAATTTTCAATGCGAGAATTGATTGTAAATTTTAATAAATAAAAAAAACATATTTAATAATATATTAATAATATATGACTAATGAATGTGAAATCGTTCAATTATCATTCACTTACATCTGATTCAAATGAGATTTGCTGGAATTATGGTAGATAAAATATTAAGCAACTATAAACGTCAACAGTATCAAGAAAGCAATTTTGTTCAGTATCACAAGCATAAATTTACTACGCGCCTTTAGGCGCCAGCAGTGAACTACGGTAGAAGTCAAACACAGTACAAGAAGAAGTCATGATACGGTTGTAATCATCACAGCGCGTAGTAACTCTGCTCTTCGCTTTGTATCGATTCACGGAGTAACGTGCACAGCAGGTATTTCCGGAAGCATTACAAGGATGCCGACGCATCAGGTTAAGAGTTCACCCTTTTCATCAGATGTCAAAAGCTTAGGCATCCTAATAATTACAAACAATTTGGCCACTGTACATAGTTATTCATCGCATCCAACACCGTATCTAAATGTTTAAAAAGCATCTTTTCTCTATTTGTTCTCATTGTTTTTACCATTATAAAAATGACATAATATTTCGGTGCTAAGAAATTTGAAATATTCGAAGGTAGAATGAAGAATCTTTAATTTTCTCTCATTTTTTCTCCTCGTCTTTTCTCTTATTTAATCCTACTAGGTATCAACGCAAGCTTTCATTTGCAATTTCCTTTTAGTCAATTCACATCGCTGAATTCTGTGAAATTCGTCCCATTAAATTCGAGCATGGAGAAATATTCCAAAAGTTTGCTCGATAGTCTTCTCGTTACTATTTTATGTAGCCTGTTTCAAGAATTAAGGTATTTAACGCTATTTGCGGATAAAGTCTGCTTCGTGTCTCCGTCCATTAGCAACGATACTAAAAATAGAGGAATCGATGCAAGTATCTATAATTATAAGAAACAATCGCATTCTCTAGATCTACGCTGCGATGTAACGTATCTGTTGCACTTTCTATTTTCTATATTTTTAAAAAAT